ACCAACTTTTTCAGAACACGCTGTTAAAAGCGAATTTTCTCAATTAATTCACCAGATTTTTTAGGCCAACTACCTGTTCAACCACAAAAAGCTTCGACAATTTATCATAGTGATGAAGATTATCAAACATACGGGAATAAAGATTTACAAACACAGTGGTCTGCTAACATCTGCATGCATTATTATAGACATTCGTTCATGTCACGAATGAAACATCCATATTCTTCTTTTCTCTTCTCGTGCATTAACGTAATTGCAAATGCTTCAGGTATATGTTACTCTTATCACAGAAATAGAACAAAACCGTCATCTTTGAGGAAATCTTTGATTTGAAGCCAGGACTTACTCAATTACTCATCAAATGGATTAGTGCTTTGTGCAAATGGATTTTTCGAATCGTCGTAGGTCTTATGTGCAGGTGCTGATGAAAAAGAACTTCGTTGGACTGTTGTATCAGAAGATGCGCTACTTCCCATAGCAGACTCCGCAAATGGATTTAAGTCGTCATCTTCAAATGGATTCGATCCTTGTTTTTTGGCGGAGGTCACAGATGAACTCTGAAAAGGCATTTAGAGATTAAAACAGGAATTGTCTAGGCTGCCTTAACCATTGCGAATAGCTCAACCTTATAGTTCCAGAACACGGAATAGGAAAGTACAACACATAGTGATATCTTATACATTGCCCACCATAATCATAAACGCGTTCAAAAAGAAGGCATATCTCGGTCGCTTTGTAAGAATTCCTCAAGAATTTGGTCGAACGTGATGTCAATCTGATATTTTACACCAAAGCAGTTCAAATAGGTTTGATTAGCATAAAAATCGGAAAAAATTCAAAATTGAAAGCCTTGGAATGATAGACATCTTTTCTCGGACTTATAGTTTATCGACTTCTTTCGCATCTGATAACTTTTAAGAGTATGACACCAAAGTTCAAACATCTCGATCAGGTTCATTCGAGCTAAGAAACGCAATTAGTTTTCTTAGAAAAAAAGAAATGATTTATTGTTATTTCGTAGAAAAAATCTTACCCGAAGGACTTCTTTCCACTACTTGCGAATGCTTACAAGGCTTTTGAATCTCTAAACAATTTAGTAAAGCCTAGCGTTGCGAGAAATGATACTTAATCCAAGCTGTGCTCTATTTGACTACCGCCTTAGCACGGATCAAGAG